GTTTAGTACTAGGGCTTGCAGATCCTTTGCATTTTTGGCTATCAGGGTAGTGTCATCAACATAGCACAGGTTATTGATGTTTCTTCCTCCAGTTTCAAAACCACGCTCATATTCTTCCATTCCAGCTTAATATATATTCAGCATATAGGTTGAATAAATAAGGAGAGAGTATGCAGCCTTGTCGCACTCCTTTGCCAACCTGGAACCAGTCTGTTTTGCCATGTTCTGACCGTTCTGTGCCTTCCTGACCTGTATATAAGTTTCTTATAAGGACAGTGAGATGATCTGGGATTCCCATTTTTCTGAGCACTTTCCACAGCTTGACGTGATCAACATAATCAAAGCCTTTTCTATAATCAACGAAGCACATACTGACTTCTTTTTGGTGTTCTTTGGCTTTCTCAATTATCCAGCATGCATCAGCAATACTGTCTCATGTTTCTCAAGCTTTTCTAAAGCCAGCTTGAACATCTGGTATCTCTTTTTCCATGCTGAGCTGTAACCATCCAGTGCAGACGATCCTAAGCATTATTTTGCTAGCATGTGAAATTAAGGATATTGTACGATAGTTTGCACACTCTATTAAGTCTCCTTTTTTTGGTACTGGAATATAGATTGACCTCTTCCAATTGGTTGGCCACTGTGTCATTCTACAGATTGGTTGGCATACCTCGGTTAGAAGTTTGACTGATTTTTCTTCTGTTGCTTGCTATATTTCATTTCGTATTCCATCAGTTCCTGTACACTTCTGACTTGGTATGACTGGGTTGCTGATCTAACTTTACCTTCTAGTACTAGAGGTTCTTGTAAGTAAGGAATATCTTCTAAGGAACCTTGGATGTTGTTGACATCTCTACTGTATAGTGTTTCAGTATACTCCTTCCATCTTTCTTTGATCTCCTTTGAATCTGTCCACTGGCATCCTTTAGCATATCAATTCAAGGTTCGAACCTCCTTCTGAGTGCAGGGATCTTTTGAAAGACTTTCCTTGTTTTTCCATGTCTGTTTCCATCTTCACTGTATTTACAGATGTTTTTGTAATACTGCTTCTTGTTTCTTCTAATAGCTCTCTGAAACTCTTTGTTAAGTTCCTTTCTGAGATTTTTGTCTTTCTTGGCTTTGGCTTCTCTTCTCTTCTTGCAATTTCTCTTTGTTAAGTTCCTTTCTGAGATTTTTGTCTTTCTTGGCTTTGGCTTCTCTTCTCTTCTTGCAATTTCTCTTTGTTAAGTTCCTTTCTGAGATTTTTGTCTTTCTTGGCTTTGGCTTCTCTTCTCTTCTTGCAATTTTCCATGGTTTGTTTTTCTTCTTTTTCTTCATTTTTGGCAGTCTCTTTTCACATTCATCCATAACAGCTTCTTTAAGTTGATTCCATAATTCCTCTGGTTCTTTATCAATGAAGTTCAGGACTTCAAAGTGATTCCTGTGTTTGCCTTGAAAATGGTGGGTATATGTTCAAAACCACATCATGGGAAACTGACTGGCTTTCTTCTTCTTTAGCTTAACTTGGAGCCTGTACCCAAGCAGCTTGTGATCTGTTCTACAGTCAGCACCTAGCCATGTCTTTGATGCTATAATTGAGCTCCTCCACCTCCTTTTAGCAATAATAAAGTCAATTTGATTTCTATTTACTCCATCTGGTGATGTCCATGTATAGAGGCATCATTTTATATTCTATACCCAGGACATATATGTGCCACCATACATGTGGCTTCTAACATTTCCCCCATTTTGCCTATGTGTTCATGGTCTAGTGCTGAGTCATTTGCCTTCCCTAAAAGAACTATGGCCTTGGCAGAGACCCAACCACTTGTCTTCAGCCAGGCACTTCAACCTGCCATAGGCAGAAAAAACTGAGAGGAGGCCATCCTGAACACTTCCATGTCCTGAGCCATGAAGGGCCTTAAAAGTGACAACTGGCATCTTGAATGGCATTGACACATGGACTGGTAACTAGTGTAGCTCTTGAAGGAGTGGCATTTCATGGACAAATTGAGAAGTATCTGTAACTATTTAATCTACTGCATTCTGGACTAGCTGTAGGTTCCACACAGTCTTCAAAGGTAGGTCCAAGTAGAGCACATTGCAATAATCCAAATGAGAGGTGGCCCAAGGCATGAGTGACTAATGTTAGTTACCATTATCCATATAAGTATCATGACCAACATACTTAACGGTGAACAAATAACAAATAATTTATCAACCTTAATGATTACACTTTTATTGCAAGATAGTCAGATTTAGCAACCTGCCCTCCATGTTTGTTAACTCTGCAGAAAAATAGTTTTAATCTTTTTACAAAGAATTCTGCTTGCTTGTAGAAAGCAGTGTTGTTCTCTCTTTTAAAAGTTTGCTATGTCTTAATGACATTTCTTGTCATTGCTACAGTTTTATAAATACTGGATAACAAGAAAAAAAATCACAATGAACTCATAACCAATCAGCCTTCTTATTCAGGTGCATATATCTGCACACATACAGCAGGATTTGCTGCTTCCTTTTTTTTCCCACATAACTTTCTCTCCTTGACTGCACTGCATCACTTTTAAATGCTGTATTGCATGCTGATTTCTTTAAACAGTAACGTTTAGAAGCATTTTCACGATTTTCTAAGGAAAAGATGGTAACATTCATAAAGAGAAACCAATCCCCTGTTGAACGTGTTTTTCTCCCTTTAGTTTTCTTGGGATCATAGCCCCTAGGCATAACCCACTGAGGAATTCTCAGGAACAAGTTCTAACAGAGTAAATTGTGGTGACCTCATTTTTTTCATTGGCTTGTACTACATGGAAGAAAACTGTAACTGTGTAATTAGAAGTGGGGATATTCCACCCTTTTTCCACTTTGTCCTGCTGTTATAGAGAACAAAAGTACAGTATATTCTCATTCTAAGATTTTCCTTCAAAAAATTCTTTACAAATTTTGATGTTGATTATTCTCCAGCTAATTTCTAACTAATCCAGTATTCAACATTTTATAATCTGTACTTGGCACACAATAATATTTCATTTTATTTGGCCTTTTTCTTATAACTTTATGTATCATTATGGTTTTCACACTTTTATGTTTAATAGTATTGGTCTGCTGTGGTGCTCTAATGACTTGTCATCCAAGTTATTCTCTGTGAAACTTTCAATAACTGCTGAACTAGACGGTCTATTAAATGGACAATCACATCTACATGTCTGCTTACCAACCACACCCAACAATCCAAACTCAGATTTGTCCCAGGTGGGAGAGTCATATTATCTTTAATTGGTGGATTCTTTAAAGGCACATGGAATTTGGATTTTTAAGGCTCATGAGAAAGCCTGAAAAACATTAGGTTGCTTTAAGAAATTAGCAGAGAGATTCTGTGCTTGCATGGGATCTGAAGCACATCTTTGAAATAATTTTCAAAACATGCACCATCCTCTCCCCCTTTAAAAGAACCAGAAAAGTTTTCACATAGATTTTATTCTAGGGTACACAATTACTTTAAACAAAGTACTGCTGAATTTAATCTAGTTTTTATAGAAAACAGTGAATGACTCCTAAAAACGTATTTTCCCCCTTCTTTTTTATTTTTACTGCTGTTATTCTCAGATTAGTCCAGAGTCTAATAGTATAATAATTCTTGGTTTTGGGGGGCATCCAAATATTTAATGTTAGATGGCCCACATAAATACAAAATCCGCATAGCACAAAATAAGCATACCAACCTGTAAAATATACATGTAAATAAAGGCTAGTATTCTAATAACAGACTTTAATTGTTTGTTGTTGTTGTTGTATAATTTTTAATTTATACTGCATAAAGAAGAATTATACAAGTTTGTATTAATCCTTGTTGGATGAACATTTTATGTTTAGACCCAATTAACTTTATTTTCCATCATAGGACACCTGTGTGCAGCATATTTATACAGAAAATAGTTTTAAAGTAATTGCTTTGTCTAAAGGAAATCAGTTTAGATCAAGCACAGTGGTTGTCATAGTTAGAAAACTGATTTTAGATCATATTGAAAAGGTTTGGGGCATATATCCCCCTGTTTATCATTTGTGCCACCAAGATGTGACAAATAGTAAAGGGTCTATATATATTTTTTTTTATGAGCACAATAGAAGAATTGTCTCCCTTTCTTCCTCCGCCAGTCATTCTTGATGCTTTTATGCAACTGTACTGAACCAGCTCCCACAGAAATGCTGCATAGAAAATAGCAGCCCACCTACGTAATTCATTTTGCAAGGCACTTGGAGTCTGTAAGTGCTTAAAGTGCTTTAATATTTCAGTACATCGGCATGAAAACACAGGGTGGCATAGATTATAATCTGCAATTGACAGTTACTATTGGCATTTACACTGTTAAACAAACACAGGGCTGCATACCCAACTGAGCAAATCAATTAATCATTCAAAGTAACAGCTCTATGAAATGTATAATTTGCACATGAAATTGTATTTTCATTCTTCCTTTTTAGGTGGGCTTTTGCACATTTCTTTTTTTAGAAATTACATAAAATGAAGTTGAAAGAAAAAAGATATAACAAGGCCCAATGTAAAACTAGTAGATATTATCACAGATTGCTTCTCTATACATTTTTTTCTCTGTGTTTCTAGCTTACAGCCTGTTACTTATTTGGATTGTTTCCTCTGCAGGTCCCTCTTCCATCACAAAATGCAAAAATGATTTCATCTATTCTCATTTCACAGACAATTGATGAGAATAAATCAAGAGAAAATAAGGCTGCTTTCTCTATGCAGTCTGTAATCACCCAATCTGATGTTTATCACATGAACCAATCTTTGGCTAATCATAACTCAGTCAACATTAATACAGCATTCATATTTCTTCCAAGAAAATTAGGAATTCAGGCATCTTCAGAGGACAATGCATTTAATAGCAGAGAAGAGAAACAATGGCATAACCAGAAGAAAGGTTTTGCTTCCATTACAATCACCGCTAAACGAGTTGTTCCACCTTCAGACAATAAAATTCAGGCAGATGCTTATGACCCTTCTTGCTTGGAATTCCAGGAAAATAAGCTGCTCATAACAACCATTCCTGCTTCAGATATAACTGGCTTAAATAAACTCTCTGAATCTTTGCATTCAGAAGCATATTATCAAAATCGAAATGTCAGTGAAATAAAGGTTTCTGAGTCTTGTCTGCAGGGATGCAAAGGGCAATCTGACTGGATTTCTAGCTCCCCAAAGAGAACGATCCCCTCAGGTAACAACCATAAGAAGCAGACACCTCTTTCCTTCACTTCAAGCGTTCACCTCAGTATTTCTCAGCAGTGTTCAAAAACAGTCTATTATGTAGACAAGTCTCTTTTGGTACCTGTTGATCAACCTCAGACTAATGATAAAAAAAGGCATCGGTCAGTAGTGTCTTTCAATGTAAATTGCAGTTCTCAAAGTAGAACACCAGATGGAGTGGATGGTTTAGCTAATGGAGAGCTAATCACAGAAGTACTTAAGTTCCCAGAGGATCATAAGACATCATTCAAAGCAATTTGGAATGCAGATCTCAAAGATAACCACTTGGATAAAAAACAGAGACTGGGAACTGAATCTTTAGGAACTGAAAATTTCTGGAAAGGTGCTTCTCCATTTGAAACTCTATCAGTTCTGACCAGCCCTCAGGAAGTTGATAATTTAAGGCCAATAAAGAAGATTGATGTACCTTCAAGTGATAATCACATGACATTATCTGCCTACATTCCTCATTGGACTTACTTTGAAGGTAAGTTGGTGAAAGAAACCCAAACATATTGGATTAGATATCAAGGACTGACTAAATGTTTAATTGTTATAGGTTTAATTGTGACAGAGCTATTTTTTTAAAGTTTCTCACTAGAAAATAAACATATAGTGTTATAAAAGATACAGTGGAATCTTTCTGGTATCTTGTCCATCTTCCTGCTCAGTGCAGAAATAAATTAAACATCTCTGGCAGATGGCCACCCACCCCTATCTGAAAACCTCCAGCAAGAGGGAATCCACTTACTGGTCTAGGCAATCTGTTTCACAGCTTAACAGGTCTTTCCATCTTTCTAATGCTCATCCTGAATCTCCTTTCTTTTAATTTCAACCTGTTTGATTCTTGGACTCCAGATTCCTTAACATCCTGGAAGCTCTCTTTTGAGCCCTCTCTAGCTTCTTAATGTTATTTTTAAAATGCAGTGCCCAGAACTGGAAATGGTACTCTACATGGGATATAATCAGTGCAGAGTACAAAGAACTAATTGCTTTTGTTAACACAGACCACTAGTTTTATTCACTTGGATATTATGAATCTGAGAGCCATTCAGTATATTTTATGTTTGAGATTTAGTTCTTGATTCATTAGTATTCCAATATAGCCTTTATTTGAGTATTATTATTTTTTTCCATCTACAAATACTGGGGAGTCCAATTGTACAAAGGAATAGGTTCCCAGAATCAAAGCACTAAGATAAAACGCTGTCCTAATGTTACTGTGCAAGGTCTATTGATGTAAAAACAAGCTATGTAGCAACGGTTGCTGAACCAGCAACTAGTGAGGGATAATCATCCTGAAATTTAAAGATAGTGGATACTCCTCTGCCAAGAAAAAGCTTTGTATAATGGCATGCAGGAATGACCTTGGGAGACAGGAGGAAAAGCCGCAGACTAGACAACCGTCATGCAAAAGGTATCTCAGTCCACAGAAGCAAAGGAGGTGTGGGAAGTGTTTCAGAAGGGATGCTCCCTAGTTTCTAGAGAGTAAAGGAAAGGAGGAGAGGAATACTTTCAGAGTTGCAGAATTCTGCTACAATAAAGATAGAGCTAATATTCATTGTTGTGCTCCTTGTCTGGACTACCTTGAAGGGCTAACATCAATCTTGAAAGTCTGAAAGTACCCTTCTCCCCTTTCCTTTTACTCTCCAGAAAACTAGGGAGGGTCCCTTCTGAAACACCTCCCACGCCTCCTCTGCTTCTGTGGACTGAGATACCTGTTGCATGATGGTTGTCTAGTCTGTAGCTCTTCCTCCTGTCTCCCAAGGTCATTCCCACATACCATTACACTTTGGGAGAGCTCTTGCATTCCCCCTGCTCAGCCAAAATTGGCTTCAAAGGGTTGGGGAATTCAAGAGAAATGCATAATTATATTCCAAAATAAATGAAAACTTGACAGTGTTCTACAAAAGATATCACAGAACATTTTATCACCATGAGAGGCCCATGTTCAGTGTAGAAAGGAGGATCTCAAGATGTTGGATACTGCAGTATACCATGATCCAGGGCTGAAGCACTCTATTATGTACTTACATTTTACACCAGCTCATGCTCCCTTTAGCTATTTTACCATCTGAAAGCTGAAATTAGAGCTTGCTTTGATTTTCGGTGGCTACGGTATTTTGTTTAAAAACAAATGTCGAAGAATTGTATTTAGGTATTTGGAAATCTGTCCATAGGGACTAACCCACAATATTTCTATGAAACAAACAAACCAAAAGGATCAGATCTAGCAGACATCTCATTACTTTTAATTATCTTTCTGTGACTTACAACAGTTCACCAGCTTTTGAAAAATGATGCATGAAGCAAAACTGTAAAGAATAGTTTGATGGAGAAATAGAAAACATGCAGAGTGAATTTAGGTAGGTAATACTAACTTTCAGGAGAAGTAAAAAATGTGCAAGGGAAATCAAAAAGCAAGTCATGTTCTTTCTTTCCTGACCTAGAAGTAGTCTGAATAAAATGATCGGTCAGCTATATTTATAGATTCCCCACAGTGATCAGTATCAGTTTGTCCACCCTGTAATTCCTTTGTTTGTAGTTGCATTTGAAAGAAGCTTGTGTTTATTCTTTTTTTAACAATGTTGATACAATGTTGCAACTATAAATTTTTGCTGCAATCAAATACATACTACTGAACTCATATCTCAGTGGTTGTTCCATTTGGCCCCAAATGTTAAAGATTGTTAAAAGAAATCTTGTGGCTGCAGAATTATTTCTTACAAGTTAAGCATAATTTGGGGTTTTTTAAAAGGTTTTGCAATTTTTGAAAAAATCTTACTTTATTTGGGAGGTTACCACTAAAAAACAGCCAGTAATTATACAGTAATTAAAGACAGGAGTTTTAATTCTTCAAGTTTGCTGTTTAAGAAATAATTCCATAATGGAATGGATTAAAAGATATGTCAAGTAAACTTTATTCAAAATAAAATTTATTATGAAAAGCTACTATGGCACTTTAGAGAATTGAATTATATAGTTAAACTAGGGCTCTATCTGACTCCAAATTCTGCAAGTTTGTAAGTTCTGCAAATTCAAAATAACCAAATAAGAAACATTTCTGGAATTCATTACCATTTTTCTTTTCCAGATGAAATAAGGAGATATCCTCTTTATGAGCATCCACAAGGTCAGCAAGTGATATCCCATGCCCCACACTGCCATCATGCAGATTATGTGAATTTGTAATATACACGAGTCTTGTCATGCGTTGAGGAAGACAAAGTCAAGAAACAGGCATGGCAGGGATTCTAGGAATGTTCTTTATTGTTGTAGGGTAGAATAAAGCCTGTCCCAATTTTTCTTTGCCCCTTCTTATACCAAACAAAATCAAGGTAGGATTATTTTGAGTTTCTTTCTCATGCTTTATTCTTTCTCAGGATTGAGTCATCTTTTCTGCCAGTCCCTTAAAGGTTCACTCATTCCTACCCGATTCCCAAAGCCATACCTTCATATCATCTCCCTTGTCAGAGCCACTTCCCTCTCCTGTGTGTGAAGACAGTCCTAGAAATTTATCAAGGTCAAAGGACAAAGAGTCACTCTTTGCTTGCAGAGAGGCCCAACAATTCTCCAAGGTCAATGGACAAGTCTGGAAGAGAGAAGATACATGGAGCTGGAAAGTGGCCCCTGCCCTGTTTTTGCTTGGCAACAACCACTGGATGGTACAATGTGCAGGAAGCAAAAAATCTTCTTTGTCCTGGAGTTTATTGTATATCAATACTGGCAGCAGTTCAGGGAATGGCGGGTATAGGGAATGGCCTTGAAGGAATGCTTTCCTCATTCTCAGGGCTGAGTAATCTTTTCTGAGTCTCTCCTTAACAATTCGCTCATTCCTTCTCCTTTCCCAAAGTCAGATCTACATTCCTTCACATGACACGTTGCAGCTGATGCAAATTACATACTTACTGTAATTTGCACAATTATGGCATGGCACATTATATCACTGGGACTTGTACCAGATGCCTATTATCCTTTTTTATTCTTTGGAGAAAGTTTGGTACTTCATAGAAAGCACTAGTCTGATCTCTGTGGAAAATATTTAAGTTTAACCAGGTTAGATAAAAACTCTGCCATAGATTGGTAGAACTGATCTGCTTAGAGTAGTAAATATTGGACTAACGGGACTAAGACTTTAATGAATTACAATGCAAATGTATGTCAAAAATTAGAAAAGCTGAATGTTCCTCTTGAGTAGTTCTCATCCAATAATAAGAATGTTTTTGTAATCTTATTCTGTTCTTTCTGCCTTAAACATTACAAATAGAGCTTTTAATAATTATATAGAATATGATGACCTTCTTTTTGAAAATAGAACAAATTAATAGGAAGTCAACTTCCTGTTACATGTTAGACATTTAGCAGTGACTAATGGTAGAAACTGTGTTAAATCCTTGAGTCTTTGCTAGAATTGATAATGAATTATATTGAAAGTAAAAGATAAGCAGCATCTCTTAGATTAACCAACCTAATCTACATATAACTATGATTTAATAAAATTGATCATTTTTATAATTTAATTTAATAATTTCATAAGATGGATATTAAGTATGAGAGACAAATGTCTTTAAGCTTTGCAACACAACATCCCCGGATGTGTTATACAAAATCCAGTCCATTTCATTCCAAGCTGAAAGATTTTAGAATGCTAGGAGGAGAAGGAGAAGGAGAAGGAGAAGGAGAAGAAGAAGAAAAACATATGAAACATGAAACAAAACCATTCCAATGCTTCTTTCTGGTGAATCCATTGTTAAGATGAAGGGTTTTGAATAGTCAGGTACCTACTGGGCAGTACTGATGGCTGCCTTTAACTGGTCAAAAGTTGCTTGATGTTCTTCCTCCCACTTCACCTAGTTGTCCATTTTAGTTTTAGTGATTTCAGCTAGTGGAGTAGCTATTGCAGTGTATTGGGATACAAATTTATCAAAGTACTATGCTACTTCCAGAAAAGATCATACCAGTCTCTTTTTCTAGGGTAGTGGTTCTTAAACTCGGGGTAATTACCCCCAAAGGGCATATCCTGAGGGTAATGGAGCAATTTGTAATTACTTGTTTGTAAGCTGAAGATGCAGTTAGGGACTGCCGCTGCTGAGATGCTTGTGTAAAACAACAGAGTCTGGGTTTTTTGTGGGGGTAATGACATTATTTAAGACTGGGAAAGGGGGTAATTGGTCAAAGAGTTGAAGAACCACTGGCCTAGAGGATTACCCATTCTATAATAGGTTGCACCTTGACTGCTAAGGGGGAGATGTTACATCATCCCACCTTGTGAATTAAACATGCAACTGGATTAAGTCCAATTTGTTATTTTGTGCCTTTAAAAGTCAATATGGCCCCTTTGCATTATTTCCTGGAGATATCCCATATGCTATTTCCAGATACTGTAGAAAATGGCTACATGATAAATATATGCTATTGGAAAATCCCCATGGCATCTAGAATTTGATTAAACCAGCTTTGGAAAGCTGAAAGAAGCATTCCTTAGTC